CCCCCCCCAAAAAAAGAATCTATTGTACAAATTTTCATTAAATAAAAATAAAATTGAAGGAACAAGAGGTAAAAGATCAAATTTCCATTTGCAGTATACAGGAAAGAGAATATAAATACACTAAAAGATAAATTATAATACAAGCTCATACACAACACATGTTATAAGAGTTTAGAAAGGAGAATGATTACCAAGGGTAATCAGAAAGCTTCATAGAAGCAGGACTTGATTTCTTGAAGAAAAGGTAAGATTTAGACAAGTCAATGCATTTTTTTCTAAGAGTGGAGAGTATTCTAAGCAGAAAGTTTATTCTAAATAAATGTCCAGGAGAAGATAGGTACATGGAATGATAAGGAATGATGAACAGGCCAGCTTGAGTGGAACAGAGAATATTTATAGGAAAGAAGGACAATGTGGAAAAATGGAGAAAATACTGAACTAAGGATAAAAAGACCTGGATTTCAAAGCCACATAGCCTCAATCTCTTCACTTTGTCAAATGTATAGACTGCAATTGTGGTGATGGTTACATAAATATATGTGGCATATATATATATATATATACACACACACACACACACACATTATGTGGCATATATATACACACACACACACACACATTTATGTACATATATGTATACACATATGCAATGTGTGTATACATGTATGTACCTATGCATGCATCTATGCATGTGTACACATATACACACATATACCATTTCCCTTAATGTAAATTAAAAAATTTTTCCAATGTCAAATTTCTCTACTGTTGGCTATAATTATGTCTCTTTGGTCCACACTCACAAATCAGAAGCTCTGATTAGCAGTTGTACATGCTTTTTAATATATATATATTAAATGTGTGTGTATATATATATTAAATGTGTATGTATATTAAATGTATATAATATATATTAAATGTACACACACATATATACATACATATACATATATATATATGTCTTGTTGATTTCAGAGAGAGGAAGGGAAAGGGAGAGAGATATAAAAACATCAATGATGAGAGAGAATCATCAACTGGCTGCCTCCTGTATGCCCTCCACTGAGGATCAAACCCAAAACTTGGGCTTATGCCCTGACCAGGAATTGAACCATAACCTCCAGATTCCTGGGTTGATGCTCAACCACTGAATGACATTGGCTGGGCCAGCTGTACATGCTTTTGATGAATAAAAGTGGTATAGTACTTTTTCAATGTATAAAAATATATAGGCTAGATTTGGCGATCTCTAAGATTCTTTCCAACTATATTATTCTATTATTCTAATTCCTATTCTAGAGTAAACTTAGGCTGTTAGTAAAGAGGTTAATTTTATGATTTTATCAGACTAGGTGGAACAGAGTTTTGGCAGCCTGTAGTTATTAAGATGTTTTCCTTTCTAGAAACTATGCATGACATAAGAAATAGCCAATGTCAAACCAACTCCATAAAAAGATAAAGGGCCTTTGCAACATTCACTGAACACCAATAATGTTCTTTCAAAATGTAAAGGCTTTAAGAATTTAAGATGAACCAAGTCATATTTCCTGACAATTAAAAAGTTTGTAGGAATGTAGCAGAGGCTAACAATAAACAAATAATCACACTCTGCTAAAAGTTATACATCAGTTCCTCAAATAATGTCATTTCATTCAACATCATTTCATTATAGGGATGATGAGATACTGTAGGAACTTTTTTTTTTTTTAATCCTCATCCAATGATATTTTTTCCATTGTTTTTTTTTTTTTTCAGAGAGAGTAGAAGGGAGCTGAGGGGGGGGGAGAGAGAGAGGAAGAGAGAGAGAGAGAAAGACAAAGAGAGAGAGGAACATCAATGTGAGAGAGACACATCGATTGGTTGTCTCCTGCATGCGCCCCCATTGGGACGGAGGATCCAGCCTGCAATCAAGGCATTTGCCCTTGGCCGGAATCGAACCCAGGACCTTCAGTCCAAGGGCCGACACTCTACCACTGAGCAAAACCAGCTAGGGTGGAACGTAAATTTTATTTATATTAATTAGCCTATGGTAAAGTTGGTTTCATTATATGTCATTTAGCCCAGCCAGCATGGCTCAGTTGTTGAGCACTGACCTA